ACATGCGGTTATCAAACGTGCACGTTATCAACTCTTTCAGCATCAAGATAATGCGTTTGAAAGCTTTTACAACTCTAAATTCATGTGTAAAGAATAATTTTGGGTACATTTTGCTCTAAAACTTTTGACCTAGACCACAGAGAGAGTTATATTGAATTGTTACACTTCTAAGAGTCATAGGGAATAATCTAGCGAAAGTCCGAACTCGATACATGACCTAGGGAATGAAATATGTTGATTTCTATTATATTGAGTACGCAGTTTTTCCTGTTCCCGATTCACTCGAAGTCCTATAACTTTTGTTCCTGTTGAACCAGCTTCCTGAAAATCAATAGCGTCCGTCCTTAATGTCCAACGTACCCGTACACCAAATTTCAACACAATCGGTCACTTTTAAAAAGAGTTAGAGCTCACACGGACGGACGGACGGACGGACGGACGGACGACAATACAAAACTATAAAGGATCTGAGGATCCTTAATAAATAGAAGAAACGCGGTATTGAGTAAATAGAACAACTGTGGAGTATGCCATGCGCTTTGTTATCCGTTATGCTCGACGTTATGTTTCAGATGACGATTCGCCTCGCACCAGTAAATGGTATTAGTGTTCTAAAATAAACCGATACAACGAAATACCGAAGGATCCTCAGTATTACAATCACTTTTAACGACAATTTATTTTAATCTTACAAAATACATTTTATAGTTTAACAAAAATGCATCAAATTCATGTCTTGGACATTGAGATAATGCTCTTGGTTTTTTCCCAACGATCTTGGTGCATAAATAACGATTTTGACATGTTTTGATCAAAATCCACGTGGTCCATAAAAATAGATCAAATTCATGTTTTGATCATTGAGATAATGCTCTTGATCTTTTTCCCAACGATCTTGGTGCATAAATAACGATTTTGACATGTTTTGATCAAAATCCACGTTTTCGCCAAAAATTCATCAAATTCATGTCTTGGGCATTGAGATAATGCGCCTAGTCTTTTTCCCAATGATCTTGGTGCATAAATAACGATTTTGACATGTTTTGATCAAAATCCACGTGGTCGCCAAAAATGCATCAAATTCATGTCTTGGGCATTGAGATAATGCGCCTAGTCTTTTCCCAACGATCTTGGTGCATAAATAACGATTTTGACATGTTTTGATCAAAATCCACGTGGTCGCCAAAAATGCATCAAATTTATGTCTTGGGCATTGAGATAATGCGCTTAGTCTTTTTCCCAACGCTCTTGGTGCATAAATAACGATTTTGACATGTTTTGATCAAAATCCACGTGGTCGCCAAAAATGCATCAAATTCATGTCTTGGGCATTGAGATAATGCGCCTAGTCTTTTCCCAACGATCTTGGTGCATAAATAACGATGTTGACATGTTTTGATCAAAATCCACGTGGTCGCCAAAAATGCATCAAATTTATGTCTTGGGCATTGAGATAATGCGCGTAGTCTTTTTCCCAACGCTCTTGGTGCATAAATAACGATGTGGCCTCAGAAAAATAATTTAACATTTTTGAATCACACACATGCGGTTATCAAACGTGCACGTTATCAACTCTTTCAGCAGCAAGATAATGCGTTTGAAAGCTTTTACAACTCTAAATTCATGTGTAAAGAATAATTTTGGGTACATTTTGCTCTAAAACTTTTGACCGAGACAACAGAGAAGAGTTATATTGAATTGTTACACATCTAAGAGTCATAGGGAATAATCTAGCGAAAGTCCGAACTCGATACATGACCTAGGGAATGAAATATGTTAATTTTTATTATATTGAGTTCGCAGTTTTTCCTGTTCCCGATCGAGTCCCGATTCACTCGAAGTCGTATAACTTTTGTTCCTGTTGAACCAGCTTCCTGAAAATCAATAGCGTCCGTTCTTAATGTCCAACGTACCCGTATACCAAATTTCAACACAATCGGCCACTTTAAAAAAGAGTTAGAGCGCACACGGACGGACGGACGGACGGACGGACGGACGGACGGACGGACGGACGACAATACAAAACTCCTTAATAATTATTTTCTAGTATACATTCGTACATTTCCCCATGTATCTTAATAAAGACTACATTAAAGAATCAGGGAATAAGCATCCATGACAAAAATATATTTAGAATTTGACATTTTTACTGCAATAATAAACCCAATAACCCTCACAAATGACGAACGATTGTCGACGGTAAATTGGCACTGCAAACTGGGTATGTATGTAACGTTTTGCGGCTGAATTCTATGGTTTAGCGATATCAACATTTGGCATTATTCGCAAATTCGTCGCCAATTTTTGATTTTTCCATTTCCATTTATTGTACCTTTTATGTATGTCGGGGATGATAACTAAAGAAGAATCAAACTTGAGACATTTTTCAATACGTGCTATTCAAGTTGCCTAAATTCTCTATTGCTTTGATGAAGGATATTTATGTAGTCTCCTGTATTAATGGTTGAAAAATGTAGTAATTTTTGTTATTAATCGATAGATGTCTTTTTATATGTATTAAGAAAGGGTATGATTCTAAAATAATTGAGGAAATTATAATTTATAACATGATTTTTTTTGTTACTCACGTAATGTGACAACGCCTGAAGAAACGAATTTTCCTTAATTAAACACTACTTGGTTAAATATGTGTTATCGTATCACTGATAGGTAGCTACCGATCTTTGGAAAAATCCAACCCTAACCAAAATAATACAGAAAAAGGATTTGGGAAAGTTCTGCGCATCGAACGTCCGTAACTAAGTTGCCTTATATTAAGGTTGCTTTTTATACCATCGTAACTTTGGGTGATATTTATTGTTTTCCACATTAATGATTAATGTAAACACGAGTGTAAACATAAGGATTTAGGTTTCTGAAAATTAAAGCGGATGGGGAAATTGTTACGTATTAAGCGAACCGTAAATGTTTAAGCGGGTTTATAAGTAACCGTATAACACAACAAATGCGTAAGACAAATTGATTTTTAGCTTCCTAGGTATTGCAACTTTTTATCCAAATTTCATCAAATGTTATAAGATCATTCTCGAGATCATTTTAAACAACTTCTAAGAACACAATTTTTTCCGTCTGTACGTATAGGTACGACGGATTTTGTTCGAATTTTGGTTGTGTATATTAGGCATACGGAAAGGAAAAATAACGGGCCGGATTTTTAAAAAAGGAAATTTGGAGCGCCACCGCAAGTTAAAAAACTAGAATATTTTTTTCAGCAAAACGGTTATTTTGATTTGGCAGTGTCATTAGGCATAAAGGATGTGAGGAAGCTGTTCTGTCAAGAATTTGGCATCTGGTTTTTATACTAAAAACCGAGTTAAAAACACAATAATAAAAAAAAACTATAGACATGTTAGTTTTACTGTAGGTAAATCAAACATCTTACAAATTTGAAAAGTTTCGAATTATTGCCAAAGTTTGTCCATAGGTAAACATCCTTCGATTTTTATTTTCTTCTTATAAATTGATCTCAGTTCTTATATACAGAACTTTTGGGTACCTAACCCTATTTTACACCAAATGCTAATTTGATTTACATTCCTGAGACGATGCCGATTAATCACTTCTGATTTCGACTCGTTTCAATTAAAAAGACCCGTACATTTCGGAATTAGTATTATTAAATCTCGAATATATTTTGGAAATTAAAATCCTGATTTATTTAATTGTTTTTCGATTATTTTCAAATCAATATTTAATTTTCGACTTCGCGAGGTTTATCAGACATCACAACCTAAATCGAATTTTTTCGGTTTTTCAAAATCTTTAAACAATTTTTATACGATGCTTTTCATGAACTGAATGCATGCAAAACAATGTCGTTCGTGCGGTTTAGGCGCCACCGTAAAAATCTCACAAGATCTCAAAAATTAGGTTTTACTTATTTCATAAATTTTAAGAATTCCTTATGAGTGTTATAAATTTTGCCGAAAAGTACATGCACCTGTTGTCCGTAAAAACACTAAGGCAAATAATATTGTTCCCAATGATATTTTGATCAAAGTTAATTGCCTACCTACGTACGTATTTGAAACGACTTTTATCTTATCCTGTCACCAATTACATTTACAACGCGAGTTTAACATGAAGAATTAAAATTGCTCACCTACATACCTACTGAAATGAGAGTTAGCGTTAAAATTTAAGAAGCAAATATGCATATTAAAAGATTTGTTAGAACATTGGTGCTCATAAAGAGACCTACCTAACGTGAAAGTACTCATTTTTACATAATAACCACCATTCCAAATGTTTTTTTGAAATAGTTCAATAAAGTAGAAAGTCTAATAATTTTAATTAAAAAAGTGCCCAATTTTTGGAAATTTCGAAAACTAACCGCTTAAAAAAGTAGGAGTGATTTTAATTGCAAATTGCGCACACTTTCCGTGAATGATTGGTAGTTTGACAAAAATTCTCCTTGGGTGGGGAACAGGTGAAGCGAAATTATTGTTCCAGTGGCAAACCACAAATCGTGTTTTCTAATCGACACCAAATCAATGTAGAGATTATTTGAATGCCATAAAATCGGCAATCGGCTGTGAAGGACTGTAAAGCGGTTGTAGAGATTAACACGTTTTAATCTTATACCATTAAAAACGCGAATAACTTAACAAAAAATCCACCTGCACTTTACACTTAAAATATTTACACCTAAACAAACAGCACGGGGTTAAAACGAATGTCACGAAGCTTTTCACTCGTAAGTGTTTTCCTGCAGGTTTTAAATGTGCTAGAAAACGCATTGAAGTATTATTGCTTATCGAGATTAGTTTTCACATAACTCGGCTATTGTTCTTGTATTGATTTGTAACTACGTTTTGTCGTTTAACTGTAATAAAACCGCATACCTGTACAAACGCAAGTAATTTTCAATTATTTCTTTTTGAATTGGAAAATACCACTCGGGGATTTATAAAGCGTCGCGCCTGGTAGCATGTAACCGTTCACTTAAACTAGTTATCAAAAAGGGGTAGTTTACTCACGTCGACACATAAGGGTTCATCCAGTAGGTCAGGGGCGAGTGGTGCCACGTGGAGCATCACCCAACATGATCCTAGATAGAATCACTACGGCGTCTACAGCGCCCATGCGACAAGCGTCGACTCCTAGGTCCCACTAGCACAAGAAGTCCCACCAAAATTCACCGTCTTAAACATACACTCCGCAAGTAGGCCAATTTTTCGATCATAATACGCACAATTTACAATTTTTACGTAAATATAAAAAATAATTTAATTGCGATTACTCATGAAACCAAAAATTCCATAATGCCCTTATTTGTATTTCGCATTTAAAGGGACGACGAAAAACATTTTATCCGCATATTTTGTAAACACAAATTAATAAAAGTTATAATCCACACACCTTCTCTATCACAACGCTGATAATACAATGCTCGGTGCGCGCTTCTATGACCGCAGAATCGGAATGGTTCGGGCTACCCCATCTCTACAGGTACGCTACGCGCATTGCGCAAGCTGTTTGTCGCAAAACTCTTCCAAAAAATTTTCGAATTTCCGTTTCAATCAAAAATCTAGTAAGAAAGCGCATCCTAATCATTACAGCGCCGATTGGTAATTTCGTAGATGCAACGCCACTACAATACGCGAAACTACGTTTGAAGGGGGTAAAACGCTCAATTTGTCGCACACCGCACTGCAATTCACACGCAGACAGACCGAGGGTTTTACCCGCAACGCTTTCGACTTAACACCTTCAGAAATCAATCACCGCTTGGTTTAAAGTGAGTGATTTAGGGACACACCTAAGGGCAATAACCGCAATCAGGTATACCGATAACAATATTTACTTTGCAAATAGGTACACCTAATTATTACAGTCGGTGAAACACACTTGCTTTTCCTCGAAACAGCACCTATGTAGTAGATAAACACAACAAGAACTGAAAATAGCGAGATTATCATATTTCTCAGCCTGTTTGAGTTGCATTCCGTTACCTATAAGTAACACACGTTTTAAATTTGTCAATATACCAGTTCTTTCATAATAGCCAACTATTTCCAATTTCTTAAACAAATATTTTAATTCAAGAGCTACGCACGAAACTCGTACCGAAATAACATACGGCGCGGCGTCAGGGTCGTACCTATTTGAAATTACATTTTAATCACGTTGTATAACTATTTCCGTACACAATTTGATAGAGATTAAAAAATATCGTGCACTAAATAAACTTATAAACTGATAAAAACCGAACTACTTATCTACACGTAAAAATGCACCCGTTTTTACCTAATCCATCTTACAAAACGTGAGATTCAAAAAGTTTAGCGCTTCAAACCTCTTTCGACTGACAGCTTTCGTTGCTAAATCAAACGATTACGTTGGATACCTGATGCAGATCAATTCATACCCAGAGCAATCCACATCCAGGGCGGGACTACACAAAGTATATCTTAATATAAAAAATATTGAGTAAAAATGCAAGGACCGAAAAAATTATCCCAAATAAAACATTCGTACCACTGCTGCTACAACTTACAGACACGTGCAAATCTCAAAAAGTGCCTATGCATTTACAAAAAATTTAAATTTTCAAAAAACTGAGAAAAGTGTCAGAATTTTAAGTATGGTTGTGTTTCAGATATTGAACTCCCCTTGTTATTCGATTATTGCTATCCTATAAAATTGAATCTTTCTTCAGGATTCTTCTTATAAAATGAAATTGAGGTAGACCGTCAAGAATGGATTGCACTGCATGTACAGGATGGTTCAAATGCCTGGCTGGTATCTCCGCAACGGTGAAGTAAAGTGTAGGTTAAATGGGGCAACGTTTCTCATTTTCGTCACTAAAAAATCGCATTTGAAAATTTTGAAAAATCTCTCAAACTAACTGAGATATCACCGAAAAACTGAAAATGTCAAATTTCGTTTTCATTTAGCTAGCTTAAACAGGCGGAAATGCACTTCTAGGATAATCTGAACCTGTTATCAGAATTTCCATAGTATTTCCTATGGACGTCATGCGGAAATAGAGGACAAAAAAATAAATTCATTTGAATGTATCGCTCGAGGTATCACCATCATACCCATATTGATTCAGCAAGATCTGGTTCCGATGGATGTTTTGTTGAGAAGTGAATGTAAAATTTTTTTTGAAAATTTATGTAAACGTAATTGTTTTTCTTCTTTTGTTCTCTATCTCATTCCGTAAAAATCCAATACGGCGCCCATATAAGAAATAAGAAAGTAGCAGTCTGCAGCTTCTACATCTAACGTGCTATGGAAATTCTGATAACAGATTCAGTTTCTCCGAAAAAAAGTGCGTATAAATGGTGCTGACGGGAACCGTCCATTTCCGGCCGTTTAAGTTAAAGAAAATGAAAATGAAATTTTAACATTTTCGGTTTTTCGGTGATATCTCAGCTATTTTTAAAGTGTTTTTTTTGTCACAAAATAGAGCAACCTTCACAGTTACGGAGATCGCGATGGGGAGCCAAGAATTTGAACCACCCTGTACAACGCTAATTTTCTTATAACGGGCGATCAAAAATGAGTTGCTGTCGAATCGCCTTTGGAAGTTCAAGTTAAATACGATTTCCCATGTAAACAAAAATTCCAAAGGTCACTCGACAGCAACTCATTTTTGATCGCATGGTATGTGGCCGTATTTTTACGAAATTTTAACAGAAGTTGCAACTTACAAATGAAAAATGAATGCACACTAAAAAATAAATTATTTATGTGCATATTTAACTTGGTGACTTGTGTAGGTACCACTGTTTTCTGAAATTTTAACAGAAGATATTTCTTACAAATCGGTTTGAAAACGCCCGTCAAGGAATGGATAGCGGTTGCGCCTTTTTATTTGTAGACGGATTTTTCGAAAATTTTATGGAAGGTGGTGGTATCTACTAATAAAACTAAATTGAGCGCATTAATAAAAAAATAGATTACGCATGTGCAAATTCATCAGAAGATGCAGAAAATTGAAAACGTACTTATGTCAGATAATGAATTGCGCGTACGCAGAGCATAAAAATATGCTATTGTGGCTTGCACTAAGGAAGGAATTTTTTTCTGTGTCTCTTACAAACACAGTTACATCAAGAAATCTATTTTTCCACTTCTCATGATTTTACACTTTTGTCGTTTATTGTGCTTATAAATTTTCTACGTTTGTTGCATATTTATTTTTGATTAGCTAAACATGAAACTTGCTCTACTTTTTGGATCAAAGAAACACAAAATTTTATTGAAGAAACGGTTAAATATATTGATAGAAAAAAAGAGACCCAACGTTCTTATTTATCAGCGGTTTTTCTCTGAAATTTTAAGATGTGTGTTAAGTGCTTCCTAAAAAGTATAATTATTATGCGTCCACAAACTTATATTGTTTATTTGCGACCCAACCCAATCCTCCTTAAATTTCAGCGGAAGATTGAAATCACTTCAAAATATAGATTTCCGCATGCGCCTTATATTTGAAGCACTTTAATTAAAGCACTTACATTATAGATAAACTTAAATTCAAAGTATGAAAATAGAAATTTCATCTCGCCCATTTAAGTGAGTATAATTTACAGTAATAATTTAATGGTTTGCAGTAAATAACATCCGATTAAGTTGTGAGTGATTTCATTAGAAGCGCGCTTAATTAATTGAAATTTTTGAATATGCCTCCGATTTTTATGATGGCCAGAAGTCGAACAATTAATTAAAGATGTTTTAATTTTACTACGTTCGTATCCGAATACGCAGGACTGGGTGGGAAAACCGGCATCATGGCATGGCCGAGTATATAAAAAGTAAAGCTGTTGTTTAGAGGGGATCTTTTTGCCTTTGGTGTTTTAACCAACACGTAAGCTCTTTTTGTTTTTTCCATTTTGCTAATTACATTTGTAAGTACCATAGTAATTTTTGATATTATGTGTAAATGTTTGCTTTTATATTAAGTTTACCGCACCGTATTTACAGCTATTGCTTTTCCTCGCACAGTAAACTTCTACCGCTCGGCTACTTTTAAAACGAATCATGGTAAATGAATGTAGATGCAGTGGTGAAAATGAAACAGTTAGGATGCTGAAAAAAATTATTGAAACTATACCCGCTACATAAATGATTACATAAATGATGCAATATGTTTTCAGAACATAGAGGGTTCATACAGGATCATCGAAAAAGGTGAATCCAGATCATTAGTAAGGCTGTAAAAAAATTACTTATCTTAATTGGGACCACCTCCCACCTGCCACTAAGCGTCCCAGGTCCGAATCATGGCACCGTTGCATCCGCCATACACTGCACGAAAACATCACTTCAATAAAACCATAATGGCCGTTTGCACCGACAAATTTAAGCGGAGCTTAGCTTAAGCATCGCTTAAAATCCATGGCAACCATTGTCTCAATAATCGTTGGCATGGATTTTAAGCTATGCTTAAGCTAAGCGCCGCTTAAATTTGTCGGTGCAAACGGCCATAAGTATTTTCCTCCTCAATACATTCATTATCACGTCACTATCACCGTCATCTATTAATGAACTCCTCATTCCTCTCGTAAATATACACACAAGCAGACCCCCATTGCCGATAGGTTGCCAACCAGCATCACGTTGTCGCGTGCAATAGGTCGTGTTTCATCCCAATAGCTTCAATTACCAGGAAAGGTTATATGAATACCATTTGTTGACGTAATCGTTGATCGTATAGGGAAATGTGGTATCCAACTAAGATCTTCATGTAGACATTGCATTTCGAAAATGCAATAAAATACAGGGTACATCCAGTGAAAAAACACATTTTCAGATTTAAATTATCAATGAAAGCTGTTACCTGTTAGTTCTTATCTGTTAGTTGTTACCTGTTAGCTGTTATCTTTAAGCTGTTACCTTTAAGCTCTTACTTTTAAGCTATTACCTTTAAACTGTTACCTGTTGGCTGTTACCTGTTGGCTGTTACCTGTTACCGGTTAGGTATTACCTGTTACCTCTTATTTAATAGTACTTTGATTCCATTAAACGGATTCGACTGTATTTACGAAATTATATTTTTACAAATTGACAAACATATGCAACCGCGCGCCTATGACTGCTCATATGGAGGTAGCTCCCACACATTGGTTGCTGCGATTTTAAATTGCTCATTTCAAATAAGTATGTTATTGGTGGTAAATATTTGTGGTCCGCTGCTATGTAAAAATAGTCATACTCTTTCGTACCACGGTTATTTATTACTCTCTACCTAATTCTGGGAATTATAAGTCTATCTTATACGATATATAGCAAAAAATTGCAAACATACATACTAAGGGGAAAAACTAACCTTAATCAGGTGCATACGTATTACATACAGGTACTTATGTGTAAATTCATTCTGAACAGCATAAAATAGCGTTTACTTTAATTTTTACGTGTTCTTGCGAATTTGCGGAAAAAAGAGAGAAAACTACGTGAAGTTTCCACGCAGTTTTAAAA